CAGAACGTGTTTACTGCACCTATAGCCCCGGCGTTTGGGGGTGTGGAGTCGGTCATACGGCTTCTGTCAACCAGTGTTATCTCGTTGCGCGGGTGCAGAAACGTTTTTTCCAACCCATTCCCCTGTCGAGCATTTGATGGGAGAAAAATCAGCAAGGGGGAAAGAAAAGGAAGGAAAGAAGGAAGAGGAGGAAAGAGGAAGAAAAAAGAAAGAAGAAGGAAGGATCCGGATATCCTGGGATTGGACGATCATCTCGACGGTGCGCAATGTTGTGTGAGTTCGCACGACCTAATCCTAATTGCACTCACGGCTTTGGGGTAGTGTATAAATCTGCACTTCTAAACGTATTATCTAATGTTTGGCTTTTCTATCCAGTAATTATTCTTTATTATTCAATATTTCAAAGGATACTGCCTAATCATTCACAGGAAAACCGCAATGTACTTCTAGTATGATGTTCTCCTTTGCACATTGTCCTTCTCGCCATAATTGCCATCCGTGTAATGATCGCTCCGTGTTATAGGTGTAGAATCTGAATGGATTCTGCTCGAGAAAGTTGTGAAGCAAAGCGAGGTGCGGGCGCAGATTGGCGTCGGGGGGGGGGCATTTTGATTATCATTGCTTCCCTAGTTCCGGTTTACAAGTCTCACTCTGGCGAAACCTGTGAACTCTTGTGAAGCTGGAGCAAGCTCATCTAGCCATCATGGTAAAACCTGTCAACTCGAGAAGAGGCTGCCTAGATAGGTCGACACGTCGATGGGAAGTAGCGAAAGTGCAAAATGCCCCCTCGTCGTCAAACTGCACCCAAGGTGCGATCGATAAGAATAGGTTGGAAATTGAAATTCTAGCACTGAAGCTTTCATAGGAAAAACCATTTCGACGTGTGACGGGGCAGGGCACATCATCGCTGGGGATTGCCCAACAGGGGGGGGGGGTCGTACTCGGTCGCTGGGGAGCCGGGAGTCGTAGCTGGCCTGAGAAAATTTTTTTGATAATTGATTTTTCGTTTCCCACGGAACGTTGTAAGGGGGGTGGGGGGGACTTCTGTGAGGGATAAAATTTGAAAGTGCTTTGTCGCCATTTCAACATTATGTATAATACCCGCCCCCCCTCTCGTCTCAAGTGTTTGTCCGCTTACCGCGTCTAGACAATGGAACGGAGACGGGCTGAGCGGCGCCGCCGTTCCGTCAGCAGATTGCCTCGCTGACACGCCCCTGCCAATCGCGTAGCGCAAACAAAAGTGCCGAATAAGACAACTAAGAGAACGTTCGCAGACAGTCGGCTTTGGATTTTCAGACACCATCGCTCCGCCACCCCTTTTTCTGTCCGAAAAAGAAAGCTCATAGAATGTTGTGGAACTACTCATTTTATAGTACTCACCTTATGCATTTCCTATTGGTCGTAGGACTCTTTGAGATGACTGAATCGCGGTCGGCTCCTTGACACTTGATGTCACATGAATGGCGTGCATCCTCTGAAATTCTGGGTGGATTCTCGCCATCAGGATGTATTCATTCTCCTGGCCCTTTATGGGGAAGCGCATGTTTGTTTGTCAGGAAACAGGACAAATGGACAACCCGTTTTTGTTGTCAGTAGGGAAATGGACAAATTCAATTTCTGGGAAACGTTACACGAGGAATGCAGAAAAGATGTCGTAATGAATTGTCACAAAGTCTTCAGCAGCCAAAGACGGTTCATGTGAAATTTGTCTAGGGGACGGAGCCGATTAAGAGTGAAGGGTTCGTGGAACTGATTGTTCGAGGAAGATAGGAGGGTATGCCGGAAACCCACAGATTTTCCACAGGACCTCAGCACGTATCCAAACTAAAATCTTACCGTTCAGTGTACACTCCGCTTTCGTGAACGATTCGTTACGTACTGCCAGTAGACAGTCATCGACTATGCATCTCAATGTGCGTGATTCTGAAAGACAAATTGAAATTTTTGCGCAGAATTTAGCTATCCCAGGCGATAGTAAGGTTTAAGCGGGTGAACTCGCTCTAGAGTGATCTATTGAGCTGACTGGGCTTGAACTTACCCCATCGAACCACACATGACACGAGAAGATGGAGAGTAAGGAAGACGACAGTTCGCAACATTCTTTCAGACTGCCTGTTGTTAAACGACGCAAGCGAATTCTACTTGACCCACATAGATTAAGAACTTTTTCGGACGCTCAAAGGAAGGCGCTATGAGTAGTGAAAGGGTAGTAATGTGGCAAAAACAAGAAGAGCTCGCCAGAATCCGGATAAAATATCTAAAAATATTCCATACTACTAAGGATTCCTAGATGCTTCCTCGAGGACATGAAAGGGGTGGAGGTTCACTGCTGAGAGCCCCTTTAGGGATGCGGCACGCTTTTAGCTATTCAAAAAGGATGTGGCTCATTGAATGATCAGAGAAGGCTGGAACCAATACTGCTTCCTCAAGGTAGGAGGAGGTGGAGGGTGGCAAATGACATCCCTTACGACGCGCGCGGTATGAGATTTGAATCTCGGATCAGCTCCCGTCCATGCCAACCAGGCATTCTACCCTCTAACAAGGGAGGTCGTTCAGGGCGTGGTGAGCTTTTTCAAAATGGTCTTGTGCATATTGTAGGGGCACATACGAGGGTCAGAAAACTGAGGTTCATTTTCGCTGCGCGCTTCTACGAATAAAAAAAAACGTAAAAAATAGGTCGATGGTTCGGATCCCAGGACAAAATTTTGCTTTTCTACAATTTTTCATTTTTTGGATCCATGTTTGTCTAAATAATTGGTCCTAACAAAAACATTCACGATAAACTGAACAATCCTACTTTTATGGAGCAAAACTGCTTTTTCGTTCGAATTCGTTAGTATGCACAGACTCAGCTCTTCGGCGCTATGCCGGTGCCAGATGGCACTGGAACCGAAAATAAAGTCTAGAATCGTGATCAGGACTGTCGATTACCCCTAGGAGCAAGTTTTGAGCGAAAAATTTTTTTTGACTTTTTCGGGTTGTAGGTGACCATTTGATCGGCAGTGTGAGCGGAGTCTCACATCTTCGTAACAGCGATGACGTATCGTTGACGCTACGGACCTGGACAACCCAGTAAGCAAACACAGGAAGGTCAAAACAATTGTTTTGACCGAAAATTCGTTTTTAGTGGTAATCAGTGGCCCTGATCACAAATATAACACCTATTCTTGGCGTCCACGCAATTTGGCTCAGAATAGCGTTGAACGTCCCTATATTGGTGTACATAACGAATTCAGTGGAAAGAAGATGTGGCCCCAAATTGTCTATAATTGACACCACACCAGAAGTTACTAAATTCGCAATCAGATCCACTGTATAGCCTATGAGGATCAACGTCCAGCAACAATCTTGTTCAATGGTGCGTGAAAATCGAAATAGTTGAATAGCACTGACTCATGAGGTACAGCTACTCAGAATGTGCCCATAAATGGCAAATATCCGAGTTATATTCATGCGCAGACACAAATGGAAGCGAGAACAGCGAAATCTAAAAAATGCAAAAAGCCGCGACGCAAGGGGAGCCGAACCATTAACCCCACCCTCACTGTCCGATTGCGAAACCTCCACTCTATCCACTAGGCCATCCGATGCTCGAGTCTGCGTAGTGCTCTAATCGTTGATGAAACCATTGCAAGAAGCCGTTCACCCTTGAGCACGTGACCCAAGTTGGGAGCTCACTTGCGGCGATTTTTCGCTTCGATTCAAATAGCCCCTTTATAAGGACCCCCACTCAGCAACTGGTCAAAGTTGCAAGTGACCTACGCCGTATAGAGGCCCAGAACGAAGCAGATTCCAAAGATTTCTTTTCACTCGTTTTTTACCTTTCCTGGAAGCGCGCAGCGAAAATGAAGCACACTTTTCAGGTCCTCGCATGAGCCCCTACAATATGCACAAAACCGTTTTTGAAAAGCGCACCACGCCCTGAACGACCTCCCTTGTAAGACGGTGACTAGGTACCAGATCCGTTGAAGAATGAGGAACACTGACGTGCACATTGGTAGGCTCCAGCGAGTCTCAATGTGCCACTAGAATTCTGACTGGAAGCAAAATACGTGTCGCATCCCAAGGAAGGCCATGTTCGACTTTCTTGCCATCTTGGCATGATGATATTCGATGTAGTTTGTCTTCCGCAACTCATGTTTGTGTTTTTTGTCCATTTCAGGCTCTGACGAAGGCGAAGACGCCGAAACGTTGGCCTAATAAAGCATTTCAATCTTGTCGAGGCTCGAAGACAAACTACATCGGCAAAATACGTGTCGCATCCCAAGGAAGGGTTGACCAACGGCAAAGTCTTATCATATGCTCGCTTTGATCTAGGACCTCACCCGGTCAGCCATATCCTACTTCAATATCTTATCGCTTCACCGCTAGCGGGCATTATCATGGAGTCGCTTGCGAAGGATAGCTCACTTCATTATGCCGTACGGAAGGAGGTGGCTGTACGCAATCAAGTGTGAGTATTTTGTTTGTGCCGTTGAAGTCCATTTGTTCGTACTCGCAGAAACTGTCCACAGGTAATTATGATTGTGATCGGCTGGTAGATTCTTGCTAGCTGTGGATGCTGAGGCGTGTCAGGAGAGCTGAGTTTGGCGCTAGTTCGTCCTCGAGTTGTTGAAGAGGGCAGAGCGATAACAATTGGTGGAACGAGCTCGCGCCTTACCAACCAGCCCTCTGACAGTCAACGTCCTCAGCGTACTGTACCTCTTATGCCGGTAGCAAAACAGTTAAATGGCAACGGCGAACAAACTGACAAGGAAGAGATACGTGGACAGTGCGAGAAGATGAGTATGTGACAAGACAATCGTACTATGACGCGCTAGTAGGCGTAGCCGGCGACACCGTGCCTAAAGAACAAATTGTCCTACTTGGCTCTTTGAATGAGTACCAGAAGAATCGGAAAGTTCGTATCGCCAGCTTCAGAGTCTTGCCTTCAAATGAATAAATATTAGTTTCGCTGCT